ATCTGACCATGAGACTTTGCGTTGGATCAAGACACAGCCAGTCTTGTCGGACGCACTCAAGAGATGGATTCAATTGATAGACATGTATGACTATCAACTTGATCCTATCAAGGGTACGTACAACAAAGTGGCTGATGCGCTATCAAGAAGGGCAGATTATCTGGGCGCACTAGTAACTGAGTTTGGCATATCTAATGACCTCACTCGATCGTTGGTGGAAGCCTATCAGGGAGACCCATTCATGTCAGAGATCATTCGTAGATTCAAGAAAAAGGATAAAAAGAATTTAGGCGAATTTACGATGGTAGACGACTTGCTGTTCCTTGATAAGGCAGGGAATAAAAGACTATGTGTTGCTAATAGCGAGTCTTTGCGTAGTTTATATTAAGAAGAGTGTCACGATGCAACGGGTCATTTTGGCTATAAGAAGACAACAGCAAACTTAGTTTAGAGATTCTGGTGGCCCTCTATGATGGAAGATGCAAAACGATATGTTGAAACCTGCCAGGTTTGCCAAAGGGACAAACCGAGGACTCAGGCACCGCTTGGGCTCATCAAGCCCTTGCCGATTCTTGAAGGTCCTGGTCAAAGTGTGCCCATGGACTTCATGGATACTCTTGTGACCAGTAAGTCTGGAAAGAGACACATCTTCATAATAGTGGACCGCTTTACTAAGTATGCAAGACTAATCGCTATGCCAGAAACAGCTAAAACTGACCATGTCATCAAACTATTTATGGACAATTGGGTTCGTGACTTCGGTTTGCCTACGTCTATCGTTAGTGATAGGGATGTCAGGTTCACCAGTGAACTGTGGCAGTCAACTGCTGAGCAAATGGGCACAAAGCTCCAAATGACGTCAGGGAACCACCCTGAGTCAAATGGCCAGACAGAACAGATGAACCGTGTAGTACAGCACCTACTTAGGCATTATATTAAGCCAAGTCAGGATGACTGGGACGAGAAGTTACCTCTCGTCGCCAGCTTGTACAACAATGCGGTGCACAGCACTACCGGTATGACTCCCAACCAGTTACATCTTGGTTGGAAGCCCAGATCTGCGCTTGACTTTCTGTTACCGGAAAGACAACCCACTGCAGCACCTGGCAGCATAGAGTTTGCTGTTAAGTATGAGCAGATGCTGCAGCAGGCCGTGGAAAATATTCAGAAGTCTCAGGGTGCTATGATTGCATCTGAGAACAAACATAGACGGCCTTCTAACTTTCAGGTAGGTGAGAGAGTCTGGGTAAAATCATCTGAACTGGGACAAGAGATAGGGATCTCAAGGAAACTGATGCCTCAGTACTTCGGGCCTTGGGAGATCTTAGATATTGTAGGGGATCAACCGGATGGGCCTTCTTATGTGATTCGCATCCCTGCACACTTACAGACCCATCCTGTTTTCCATACCTCCAAGCTGGCACCTTTTGCTGCCACAGACCTGTTTCCCTCTCGGAGATCTATGCTGCCCCCAACCATGGATGGCAAAGTGGACATGGACCAGATCGTCGAGCATCAAATGATGCCTGTTCCTCGACCATCAGGCAGAGGGCGACCTCCTACACCAATAATGCAGTATCGGGTGAGCTTCAGACATCACCTCGATCCCAAGGAAGATCGCTGGTTCACATGAGAAGAACTCATGAGAACAGCACCTCAAGTGATTGCAGGCTATGAAAGAGAACGAAAAGGGAAGATGCCTGCAGAATAAGAA